TAGAATGTTAAATGAGAGCATTAATGATACTATACTCATTTGATAATTCATAGATCATCAGTACTGGCAGGGAATTAAACAAATCAATTATTTAAAGCAACACTCTCAACCAGGGCCGTCTTTAACATGGGAAAACGGGGCAGCTGCCCTGGGCCCAGTTGCTCCTGGGGGACCCCAGAGCAGCTGCCCCGTGGGCCCCACAATTGCGCAGCCCCCATGGACCCGGCGGTGCGGCTGCACAGAGCCACACCGGCTCACACACTAAAGAGGGCCCCCGGGTGGCCAATGCAATAAGGGTCACCCGGTGGGCATGTGTCAGCAGGGGCCCAGTTGGGCATTGTGGTGCTTAAACAGCGCGACTGGACCCCTTCTTGTTTGGCAGCCGGCTGGGAGGAAGTGAGTGCCGTGTGTCACTTCCTCCCACCAGAGATCAGAGCCGCGCAGGAGAAGGAAGGCAGGGAGGAGGGGAGTTCTAGAAGATAACTCCCAACTGCCTCAGCCTGCCACTGGACCCCAGGGAAACTAGCCTCCAGAAAAAGGTAAGAACCTGGAGGATGGCTAGATGTAGCATGTGTGTCAGTATGTCTGTGTATGTCAGTATGCCTTTGTGTGTGTGTGTGTGTCTGTGTATGTCAGTATGCCTGTTTTTCAGTGTGTCTGTGTATGTCATTATGCCTGTGTGTGTGTGTCAGTGTGTCTGTGTATGTCAATATGCCTGTGTGTGTCAGTATGCCTGTGTGTGTGTGTGTCTGTGTGTGTCAGTATATCTGTCTGTGTGTGTGTCAGTATGTCCGTGTGTGTGTGTGTGTCAGTATTTATGTTAGTATATGTCTGTGTGTGTGTCAGTATTTATGTCAGTGTATGTGTCTGTGTGTGTGTCAGTATGTCTCTGTCTGTCTGTGTGTATGTAAGTATGTGTGTCGGTATGACTGAATGTGTGTCAATATGTCTGCCATTATATATTTGTGTGTCAGTGTATGTGTGTGTCAGTATGTATCTGCAAATGTATCGATATGTCTGTCTGTGTGTGTATGTGTCAGTATATCTGTCAGTGTATATGGCTGTGTATGTTTTGAATCTCTCTACTTTAGATCCCCCTTGGCATTGGGGTGAAAAGTGTGATTGCGGGTTGAATGTAATTGGAGGGGTGGGAGGGGCAGGGCCAGGGGGCCCAAGAAAATGCTTTGCCCAGGGTTCTATTCATATTATAGATGGCCCTGCTTTCAACCCAATAAGAACATGAGCGCACTGAAAATGTTATAGAGGCAGGAGTTTCAAGGCAGTATTACCTTCAGGTATTAAAGTTTTTCACTGGTTTAACTCTGAAGTTATTCCACTGGCACCTGCTACTGCTGTCCGCCAACTTCCTATCTTCTTCTTTGCTGCTGCAGTATGAGGAAGGTTGCACCAGGCAGTCGCTGATAGGTTGAAAGTATTAGCTGATGCTCTAAGCCTATCCCTAGCCACCCACTGAGAGAAATAGTATGTACAATTTCTCTTCATGGACAGCTAGTGATGGGCAGCTAGCATCTTCTAATGCTCTATGTCTATGACCAGCTGCCAAGCAACCTTTCCACTTCTGAGAGGAAGAAACCTGTTGTGCTGCAGTCAGGGCCGGACTGGGAATAAAATTCGGCCTGGGCATTTTTTTTATCACTACGGCCCAATAAGAAAGGCAGAGAGGGTGTGTTTTGTCATCACAAATGACAATGCACTTTAAAAGGCTCAGTTCCTGTGATTTATGTACTTTTGTACTCCAGAAAGAGAGACTGACCGTTAGCCTTGATTTCCTGGAAATCCCGAACCTCTAAACCAATCTGGGTGATTTTTGGATATGTTGGTCACCCACATCGGGGCTGTCAGGGGATGTAACTTTTATGGGTTTTTATGTGTTTTGGGGGTATTTCTGGGGCTTTGTTATATTGATTGTTTCTGTACTGAAAGATAATTAAATTATATGTTTGTGTGCTCAGGTAATTATCTCTCAGACACAGGGGAGGAGTATGTTAGATGTTTGCTTGTAACTAGTCTCCTCTCAGGTCAAGGGGGAGGGATTATCCTGTTTTGTGTGGGAGTGTTATGGGTGTGTTTACTGTGTCCCTGTATTGTATAAAAGCAGGCAATTGAGCCTGGATTAAACATATTCATTTTACCCCTTCATAAAGTCTAGGCTCATGTTTGGGGGATTGGAGAGCTCTAATCACTACTCCGCTGGAAACAGGAGAGCTATAATTTATATATATATAAAATAATGTATGCAACCATATATAGGGTATATAGGGTATTATGGATATTGGTACCAAAGCAATGATAGAAGTACCTACAACAGAATAAAAAAAAAATAACAACATAGTGTGAACTGTAAATACATAAAGTGCCTTAATACTCTAGTAGGAATTCCACTCATATGGCCCAGAGCCATGCCAGGCTCTGTACAAAAGGCTCAAGGGTGCCAATACTGGCTACAAGATCCACTCTCCAATGGCAGGAAACAGGGCATCATACATCTTATGTCCAGTTTCCTGTCATTGGAGAGTGGATCTGTGGAGAGTGGAGCACCCTTGAGACTTGTGTACAGAGCCTCACACAGCTCTTTTCCATGTGAGTGGGATTCCTACTACTGTATAGAGTATCAGCATCCATAATACCCTATTAAATTATTTTATTAATATACACCAACTTTTCTCACTGTGGTATTACCGTGTTTCCCCGAAAATAAACCCTACCCCGAAAATAAGCCCTAGTCGGATTTTCGGGGTGGGCTGCAATATAAGCCCTACCCCGAAAATAAGACCTAGGCATTGTACCTTTGCGGCGAGACTTCCTTCTTCTGCTGTAGGAGGAGCGTCGCGCAACGTGATGACGACATTTTGCAGCGCCGTCAGTCTGCCTTCACGGATCTTCAGCGGAAGGATCCATTTCCGGGCGGTGAGGCTCCCAGTGGTCGGACTCGGCAAGGAATCTTTGAAATGTGAGTACCGCTAGATATTTTATGTCTGGGATTAATTGAATTAATTAAAGGGGGTGGGCTGGATTAATTAAAGGGTGGGCTGGATTAATTAGAGGGGGGTGAATTAATTAAAGGGGGGTGAATTAATTAAAGGGTGGACTGGATTAATTAGAGGGGGTGAATTAATTAAAGGGGTGGTGAATTAATTAAAGGGTGGGCTGGATTAATTAGAGGGGGTGAATTAATTAAAGGGGGTGGACTGGATTAATTAGAGGGGGTGAATTAATTAAAGGGGTGGTGAATTAATTAAAGGGTGGGCTGGATTAATTAGAGGGGGTGAATTAATTAAAGGGGTGGTGAATTAATTAAAGGGTGGGCTGGATTAATTAGAGGGGGGTGAATTAATTAAAGGGTGAATTAATTAAAGGGTGGGCTGGATTAATTAGAGGGGGGTGAATTAATTAAAGGGGTGGTGAATTAATTAAAGGGTGGGCTGGATTAATTAGAGGGGGGTGAATTAATTAAAGGGGGGTGAATTAATTAAAGGGGGGTGAATTAATTAAAGGGTGGACTGGATTAATTAGAGGGGGTGAATTAATTAAAGGGTGGGCTGGATTAATTAGAGGGGGTGGATTAATTAGAGGGGGGGATTAATTAGAGGGGGGTGGATTTATTAAAGGGGGGGTGGATTAATTAAAGGGGGGGTTCAATGTACATACCGGTACCGTAAATAAATAAGCCCTACCCTGAAAATAAGCCCTAGTGTGTTTTTTGTGACTAAAATTAATATAAGACCCGGTCTTATTTTCGGAGAAACACGGTAGGATTTTTTATGTATATATATATATATATATACACACACATATATATATATATATATATATATATATATATATGTGTGTATTTTTATTTATGTTTTCATTGTTGGGGAAGCACTTTTTTTTAAATCAGTTTAACACATTTTTTGTCACTGTTTTTTTATTATATATTTAGTCTTTGTTATGATCCAGCTGATATTAGCCAACCAAGAACTCTTGTTCCAGGCAGGCTAATGACGACAAATTGACACAGTTAGAGTTACTCAAAGCAATGAGGTTAAACTATGGATGTGCAGCATTTCATCGCAAAATGCTGCACACACAGAGTCCAAGCACCATTACCACTTCAAGTCCCATTACCCTTTATTGCAATAAACATTCAGTTTGAGTCTTAAATATAGCCATCAATTAGTTATGTCAAACTCACTCCAACCAAATAATTTAAATCAGATATCTCACAAATAGCTCATTCATTCTTAAAGGCACATAGCTAATTATAAGTAATCTAAATCAGTTTTGCAGCAGCGATTATCCCCTCAATTATCCCTCTGTGAACGCAAATATATCTGACTCTACTACACCAAAATCAACATTTTATATAGTTTATTCTAAAATTTCACAAATGTGTTTTAGTTATATTTTATAAATTAAATAGAGGTTTTTTTTAATCCCATATAACAGTTGTCTTAACATCTGGAGTAATGAGCACTCTTCTTGTTACGAGTTAGTTACCGGTCTCTCCTGGGGTTAGGTGTGATGTACACCTAACACTAAACACATGTGGAGGTAAAACAAATAATCACTTTTACACGAACAAGATCAGAGTCGCTGTGTAGTATTGGAGACTATAATGTATTTGATTCTTGGAAATTATCAGTTACTTCTGTGTCAGTACAGTCTGCATGTTCTCCACTTTAAAACTTTAGTTTGCCTGTTCTCTACAAGATCAGGTGGAAGAGGCCTTCCCCCATATGTGTATAGTGCTCTTCATCACACCTAACCCCATTAAAGGCTTTTCTCTTTCTCTTTTTTTTTTTTTTAAAGAAAATTCAGCATGACAATACAAAGCATTGTGCAACAATTATAATGTAATGCAGTGTTAAAATTGTCATGTTAATAATAAAGAAAATTCAATACAAGCATATAAATTGACATACTTGTACTAGAAGATAAATTATTATGCATCATATAAGCAGCAAAGTACACTTGTAGATGGTTTTCAGCTGAATTTGGGGCGATCAGGTGATTTTCTAAATCCCTGAACTCTGCGCTGAAATGTACGTGAACCACCAACCAACCAAACTGCGCAATGCTGAACATGTTCTGTGTAGTAATTCTGAATTCCAAAAAGAAATGATTAATTGGGGGGGGGAAAGAAAGGATTGATGGCTAGAGGGTAGTCATTAAATGTTGTTTTTTATTCACATATCAAGAGGATCTGTGAGTAGTGAGCAACAGAACGAATATTTAAAATATACAAATTTATAATAAATATGGATTTATTTATTTTTTACTGCTGCTCCTGTCTTTCTTTTTACTTGTTACTCTTCCTCTCTTTATCTGTGAACCAAATGGTGGGAAAATGCTCCTATGCCTGTACTGTAACATATGTACATATTGTTATATTTTGCAACACACTGATTGGCCCACTGTTCTTATGATTCAATTTTAGTATCATATTCTCAGTTCCAAAATTCTGCCGAGACGAACCATCATTCAGCTGGAATTCAGGTGTTCTGAAAAATGTTCTCTCTGTGGAAAAAATGGTTCGGCCAAGCTGAATAGTCTCACTGTGCACAAGTACAGTAAATAGAGTCATAATGCATAGAAAAATTGTTGTAAAATGTGCTGAAAAACATGTGCATACATGCTTAGCAGTATAAAATTGAAATAAATAAAAACCGTATATAGAAAAATAATCATATTGAACAGAAGCAAGTTGTGCTAGTTGGTGAAAAGGACAATAAGAAGGGGTCATCTTCCATTATGCAGCTAGGAAGGGAAGTATATGTGGTAACCTCCCAGCATAAGCTGGCTGAGGAAAATATGGCCTAAGTGTTCACTAGAGGAAAGGCACAAACTAGGTAAAAAGCCCAAGAAGGAGTGGCAACTGCCATGCTTCTGGAGCTAGCTTTAATAAAAAAAATATGCAGAAAGCTTCTTGGAGCAGTTTCTATTACATGATCTAATAATGGCTATGAGTCCTTAATATCTTTGTGATGTGAATTTTTACAGGAAACGTTTGCTATGTTGATGCGCTCAGATCACGGCCCGAAGGGGACGTAATATTCGTGACCTTCTTGTACCAAGCCATCTATCTATTAAACCACAGCCAAGGGACACATGGTTGGGAAATCCTCCATGTGGTTCCTATGGTTGTGGTAGATGTGTAGCTTGTAAATACATTTCCAAAGAATCAAAAGTTGTTACTGATAGTACCGGTCGAGTCTCGGTTAAGATTAGAAGCTTCTTTAACTGCAACACGAAGGGCCTGGTTTACCTCCTGTCTTGCTCATGCGGACAAAAATATATAGGCAAAACCTTTAGAGCCTTCAAAGAAAGGATAATGGAACATGTCAGGTCCCCTAAGAACCGCCTCGAAACGCCAATTTCAAGACACCTAAAAGAACACCATCGGGGTGACTCTGGTGGTTTGAAGTTCTGTGGTCTTGAATTGGTTAAAAGACACCAGAGGCGGGGGAATTATGATCGCCTATTGAGACAGAGAGAGTCTAGATGGATCTATAGACTCAAGACATTGCAACCCTTGGGTCTAAATGAGGGCTTTTCTTTTGCTCCATTCCTCTGAGCTGCTATGGTGGATATATGTGTCTGTATATATATGTACATCTATATATGCATCTATGCGAGCCGTATTTTATGGACAGTTCTTACCCTAAGAAAACCTGTCATAACTATGAATGATTGATGTAATATTTTACACTATTGTCTATACTTTATTTACAAACCTCTCCTATTTTTGTCTCCTCCCTTTTGTCCCTTAATGGGACCATCGATGTGTCCTGTAAAAATATGTACAGACGATTTAGGATTTTCCTCCCTTCAATGGGAATATGGATGTACTGTATATAAATGTATAGCTGTATATTATCTATATTGTGCTTGTTTGTATTAGACCTGTTGGTCAATTCTATGCACTTAGCGCTATATATATACATATGTAATGTGACCTTACATTGAATCCTACTATCCTAAAAGGACGATCAAGACAATAGGATCGTATATATGTATTTTATGCAACTTATATACTTGTATCCCTCGGCTGGATGCCACTTGGATACAAGCAATTGACACTTTGTAATATACCCCTCCGATACCGGCAGACTGCGCACGCATGCGCACAGCACGGACCGAGTGCCGGCATCTGACGCATGCGCAGTAGTACCCGGTTCTATCTACGTAATTGAGGGTTTTCCCACGAATGAGTCACTCAAAGGGCGTTGTAAAACTGAGGTACAGCCCATCGGTGATGGGCGGTCTATAGTTTGGCGCCAAATGTGAGTGCTTTTAAGGGAGGGGACGGAGGAGAGGAACTTGCACACTACTCTACCCTTGAGAAAGGTGGATTTTACCGCCGAAACGCGCGTTGGGCTTCTGCTACAACTGTGGGGGGCCAGATTTGGGCGATTTGCCCTATACTGAATTATACTTTCACTACCTTCCCACCTTTATTTTTCGATCTCCTAACTCTATATCTCTCTGTCCTTTCGATTTAACCATTTGTTATTAGACTGGCTGAGGCCAATAGTCATATTTATACCTCACATTAGGACGCTATATTATACTTTATATTCCCAAACCTGATATGCAATAGTGGAGATTTTGTTTGTGTGTTTTTCTAGGACCGTAAGTGTAGATCTCACCTGTTTTGCTAGCACAATTATCTATGCACATTATTGCACTGGTGCCTATTACGAATAGTTTTTCTGCTACTTTTACACTGTTGCTACTTTTGTGGCAACGTAGTATCCAGGCACAGTATATAGTTATGTGCAGCCCAGAGTGACTCTCCAGGTCCTTTTTTATCCATTTGTAACAGTTGAGTGTATTACAGACTTTTATTATTTTTTGACTACATTAAAACTTTATTATTTTTGGTTTAATCTGTTTAATACACAGGAGTTAAGTGCACTCTTTATTGCTCCACAAGGGGTACTAGTTGTGAGTTGTTCTGTCTCCCATGTTTAAGGGATCCTTACTCCTCACCTTCTTTTTGTTTAATTATGTTGATGTTAAACTAATTTTAAAAATTAGTAATCTTGTGAGGCTACATAATATACTTCAACTGGTCAAGTAGAACATATACGTAAGAAAGAGATACTATACTAGTTCCAATGGAAGTAAGTAATTTTGCAGAATCCTTTATCTTGAAAACACTGAATACCCATGTACCTGTCATTCTGTCCATTCACGTGTTACATGTCTTCTACAGTGTATGTCTACTTCACTGAAACAGGACATCTCCTGTTAATTATCAACGTACAAAACAAAAAACATTGTATTGTGAAATATGTTGCTAGTTCTGAATAACTTTGTTCACACTAAAAACTACATACAACTAGGCATGTGCATAGGGAAAATTTTCGGTTCGACATTCCGAAATTCGGGACTTCGACACTTCGGAACGTTGGCACTTCGGAACTTCGGGACTTCGGCAACTTCGGCACTTTGACACTTCGGAACTTTGGAATTTCAGGACTTCTCTTGCAGCCGCTTGGTAGATAACTTCCTATTTCCCACGGTATTAAGGAGTCATCTACCAAAATGCTGAAAGACCTAAATTGGTCTTTCAGCCAAATTTACTAATACTAAGTAAAAATTATTTAGTATTAGTAAATTGTGCCCCTACTCGCTATACCACGAGTAGGGGCATGTCTAGTAAACAGTGAGCATCATGTGGCTGCTCACTGTTTAAAAAAATAAATAAAGCATTCCTCCCTCCTGAACCCCCAACCGCGACACGCAAGTGGGGGCTTTTAAACTAAAGGGGGGACCTATTGACCCCCGGCCCCCACTCCTGAGTGGCGGGTGGGGGCCCTAAAGTAAAATAATGGGGGGGACCTAATGTCCTCCCCCCTGGCACCCACCCCTGAGCGGTGGGTGGGGGCCCTAAATAAAAATTGAGCGGGCCTAATGTCCTCCCCACCTGACCCCCACCCCTGAGTGGTGGGAGGGGGCCCTAAATAAAAATGGGGGGGACCTAATGTCCTCCCCCCTGGCCCCCACCCCTGAACGGTGGGTGGGGGCCCTAAATAAAAATTTGGGGGGGGACCTAATGTCCTCCCCACTGGCCCCCACCACTGAGCGGTGGGGGGCCTAAATAAAAATTTGGGGGGGGACCTAATGTCCTCCCTCCTGGCCCCCACCCCTGAGCGGTGGGTGGGGGCACTAAATAACAATTTGGGGGGGGAACCTAATGTCCTCCTCCCTGGCCCAGATCCCTGAGCAGTGGGGAGGCCCTAAATAAAAATTGGGGGGGACCTAATGTCCTCCCCTCTGGCCCCCACCCCTGAGTGGTGGGTGAGGGCCCTAAATTAGAATAAGGGGAGGACCTAATGTCCTCCCCCCTGGACCCCACCACTGAGAAATGGGTGGGGGCCCTAAATAAAAATTGGGGGGGGGACCTAATGTCCTCCACCCTGGCCCCCACCCCTGAGCGGGTGGTGGGGGCCCTAAATAAAAACTGGGGGGACCTAATGTCCTCTCCCCTGGCCCCCACCCCTGAGCGGTGGATGAGGGCCCTAAATTAGAAAAAAGGGGGGCAACCTAATGTCCTCCTCCCTGGTCCCCACCCCTGAGCGGCAGGTGGGGGCCCTAAACCCCTAGTCACCCTCCTCCCCCCAAAAATTAACCCCTACCTACCCCCCTCACCCTAAAAATAATGAGGGGGGGACCTTTAACTAAGTACCTGTTAAAATAAACTTACCATTTGATGTTTTCTTTCTTCTAAAATCTTCTTTTTTCAGACCCAAAACAGGCCAAATAAAAATCGATAATAACCGACGCACTTAAAAATATAAATAATAATAATCCACCAATCAGAATTTTATGAGTCCCCCACCACTCAGGGGTGGGGGCCGGGGGGAGGACAATAGTTCCCCCCCCCCATTATTTTACTTTAGGTCCCTCACCCGTCGCTCAGGGGTGTGGGCCGGGGGGGACAATAGGTCCCCCTTAGTTTAAAAGCCCCCACTCGCGCGTCGCGAGTGGGAGCTCCGTAGGGGGGGACGTGTTTTGGGGTTTTTTAAACTGTGAGCAGCCACTGTTTACTAGACATGCCCCTACTCGCAGTATAGCGAGTAGGGGCATAATTTACTAATACTAAATAATATTTACTTAGTATTAGTAAATTTGGCTGAAAGACCAATGCAGGTCTTTCAGCCTTTTAGTAGATAGCTCCCTAATATAATAT